AAATGAACATTTTTGTGTATTGAAAATATTTGTTAGTAAAGTGAATAAATGAAAAAAGAACTTTGATTTCAACATCATTTGAAAGTTTGCTGAAGATGTGGATCACTTAAAATATATTTACCAAAACATCTGTCGAATTTTTTACACCGAGTGGCCATAAAACTGAACTGACTTTGTACACTTTTGATGTTTTTCTTTATTCTCCTGCTGAAAAATTACATCGGCAAGTATATGTTTCAATATGTTTCAATCCAAGTTTGCCAATTTTTGTTTTGAACCAATTTTTCAATAAAAAAACATAATAGGAACAGAAGTGGATATATCCCGTAATTGCGTAGGTACTCTCAAAGTATTCGAATAATTCCAAATAGGTACAGTATATGCTATAGTATGTACAGTCATCTTTAGCGAATATGTCGCGGTTAGACGGTATGAGCGGTTTTATTTCAGCGGTGATGAAGGGAGCTGACACCGTCCATATGCGACATGATCTCTGATGACGAGTGTACCTACACCTGAAAATGTCGAACGATATTATAACTTCCGTATTTGTGAACCGATTCGAACGTTTTTCACTAGGAATGAGAGTACATTCTAAATTTTGATGTATCATATTGATTTCGTTTTGATCACACAGAACAAAAAAAGTTACATGCCACATTCGTTACAATCAAGTACAATCAAGGTACAAAAATGAAAAATAAACAATCTAATTAGAAAGAATATGATCACCTGTATGGAAAAACTTCCAATGCATCAGGGTGTCTAATTTGAAAATCGGAATCCATCAGCAAAACGTTATAAGTAATAGTTATTTATAAGGACCAGTGGTAATAATCTTTACTACCAAGGTAGTGAAGGATATATCATTATTCTTACCAAGGGTAATATCATATCAGGAGGCTTCAGCCAATGTATAAGGTCTCGTGGTAATAATAATATTGATTTTTTCCGCACTAGTAAAATACCGGCTTAACAAGATCATGGTTGGAGATAGGTGATTGAAATTGGGAATGACCAATCAACTTGATAAACGTTATGTTTCTACATAACTGTTTTATTTTCCACTTGCGGTTTCACCAGGAGTGATACTAACTTTTGATTTTCAAATGGAACACCCTGTATATCATTGCATTTTCGAATCTTGAATTATTTTCTGAATCCAATATGATGCCACATAAGTGATATTTAAAACTTCAAAATTGATTTTAATTTTATTTTTGGTTTTCAATCTGAGTGTGCCATGGCTATTCTGATCGAGTCTGATGTACCCATACAGTGTAATGCTTAAAAAAATTTAATCCTGTAAAAAATTTAGAATTTCTTGATTTATCACCAAATTAAGTTCATCAAAATGGTTTGGTGTACGCATTATCCTGTTACACCCGGTATTTCAATCATTATGGACCAATTGTTACTATGAAAGTCAATATTGATAAATAACCTATACTGGATTCGAGGACCAATCCTGCGAATCTCGGCTAGTGGTTCATAAAATGACGAAAACTACCTTGGTAGAAAATACATTTTACGCCTTGAGAAGAACTTAATAATGGTAGGTTCTATAGTTATTGGTGCAAAAAAAATTAACGTAGGTGTCATAAATTAAAAAAATCCAAGACTGAAACTCAGGCACCTCAATGATGTTACATCAGGCCCGAATCTTGTGATCACCCGGTATATTCGGCTACAAGATGAAAATTCATATCAAGTACCTATCTACAGCTTGACCATTCTAGCTTGGCCCCTGAGAATTGGATGCGCAGTAGACCAGTCGGCGGAGTGAGGCGATAGCACATTATTGTCCAGGAATTGGTTCAGTCATTGTCGTTCTAGACAACCTAGTTAGGTAGTTAGTAGGCATGAGCTATAATTACCTCCTCGCACTAGGTCGCCTACTAGGTTTTCATTTAGATCGACAATGGTTCAGTGAACATCGGTTAGAACAGTATAGTACGATTGTACTTCCCAATAAAGAGGCGTAGTGGATCTTTGTCGTACACTAACCATCTCTGTTTATCGATTGCGCATATCAGGGGCCAAGCTAGAATGGTCAAGCTGTACCTATCTACGGTTCGATTTCTCAATTTATTTATTATTTCATGCGGTAAAGTGTAAGTATACCTATAACTACTTAAATCGAAATTGAGTTTTATCACAAGAGCATATACAATGGCAGGCGAAATGTTGAGGTTGGGGGTACCTACCTATGTCATCTGTCAATCTTTATACAAACTTTGTTTAGGAAACTACATTCACGATACTCGTTATTAAGATACTTTATGTATTTTGAGCGATCCGGTTCATAAAAGCCTACTTTACGCCCTTGATACATAAATAACTATTTTGTATTTCACAGTCAAAAAGGGAGAACCGTATTAAAAAACTTCTATAACGGCTATGGCAAAACAACAATGTGACGTTCTTCAAAATAAGGAGCAGCCATTATTTGCTCCTTGTTAGTTTTCACAGTGTATCTCAAGCTGCTTGATTTCATCAGAATTCCCTATTCCGAAACATCGATTGAAGAAACCTTCGATACCTATCTCTATACAGGGTATGTCACGACGAGCTTACACTATATGTACTGGTACTGGTGGGGGACGTTCGCACGTCAGCAACTAGTCCCTAATGGGACCTTTTTGCAAACCCCAAGGTGTTTTCAATGACTGATATGGTTCGCTTAAGAGAGCTGGCCAACATCCTCTCCAGGCACCGCCCATCAGCTCTCTTTCAGAGTTTTTCAGCTGTGTTTTGTAGGCTAGTAATGTACTCACTACCATATGATGCAGTGGCAGGCCTGCTAGCTATCCTCATCAACCCCCGTTAGAGACTGGGGTCCACTAAGCAGCTGGCCCGCTCTCACGCTCAGCTGGTAGTTTTCCACACCCACCTACATACACAGTCCTACTTCTTCTCTGATGCTCATAACCACATCATCATCTCTTTCTGCGTGTTCTGTGTAGGCTTTGTTACTTACTCCATGAGCCACTTTAGGAGCAGCACTGTTGATTGGAACGCAACAGCGAATCGTGCAGGACTATCCCCAACCGATGCTCCGAAACTTTGCAATATTCAATTCGTAAATAAAATACACTATATATAAATATGCATGCTTATATTTCAGAATACGCTCTCTTCGTTTGAAATATTATCAGCAATGCAGTGTTGCCGCTTCTATAAAAAAGTAGCAACAACTCAAACTCAAATATAGAATACCCTGTATTTTATTGCATATTTAGGTTCTCCCTGAAGAGCTGATTTCATCGATACGTCACACTTGGAGTCATCATAATTGATTAAATTGAATTGAATATCAGTAAATAGTGAATCAAAAGTTGAGATAGAGACATGTGAGCCGTTTCGACGGATAATCAATAGTTTCGACACAAAATAAAGTTGAAAAATTTCGATTTTGAATAACCTATATCTCTATAATGATTTTCTATAGACCCCAAGTGTGATATATCGATGAAATCAGCTCTTCAGGGAGAATCTGAAGATGCGAAAAAATACATGGTGTTCCATTTGAAATATCAATGTTGCTATATCTTTCAAGTTGAAGCGGCAACTTTTCATTGTCGAAAATATTTCAAATGAGGAGAGCGTATTCATTTTCATGGATTTCTCCCCACTGATTATCGATATAAAGATAGTGTAAACTCGTCGTGACACACCAGTATAATAACCGTTTCCGAGAACATTTCTGAATATTTGACGTAGAATGAGATATATCTGTCAATTTTTCTTTTTGAAATAAAAACTTTTTTGTGATTTTCAAGTGTTGCCACTGAGTTTCATTAGCATTAGTTCGAAAAATATGGTTTTATCACGAGTAAATTATGTTTGGCATTCATCTCGAAATCCATACAGTTTTCGAAAAACATATATGAAGGAGCAAAAAGTATCCAAACAAAACAGAAAATATATTGTTTCATTGAAAGAAGAGGCAGCATGCAGGAAAGTTCAAGGGGGTTAGAATTGGATACAATCTTCAAAAGTGTGTATACAGTGTGTCCCACTTACCATGCTCACCATGGGTATCTTTTTAACGGTGAGAGATATACGAGGTCGGTTAAATGACACCAAATGTGGAGTTTGTCAAGGCCAACTATAATGTGAGAAAATATTTTGATAAAATTTATTCGTTTTTGTTTTATACGCAAAAAACAGATTTTGATCATTTTCATGTCTCCTCCGTAACTTCTTTATTTATGAAAATATTCAAATAGGAATTTCACATTCTCATGGCAGTTTTTCAAAGTGATTTCGAAAAAAATATAAAATTTATACTAACTCTTCTAGAATTTGAGATATCAGCACCAGCCTTAGTTTTTCAAATGTAGGTCATAGCTCACTATGACTTAGTTACAAATAACTTTTTTTTCTCTTACAGATGATATGTCGCAGTAATAGTTTTGTGTTGATAACAACGGAGTTATCGTCATTTATACAAAAACAAAAAAATATTTGGAAGCCGCCATCTTGAATTTTTAAATTTCAACAAAAAAATCATGATCTCCGAACTCAAAAACTAAAGTTGGTGCTGATATCTCAAATTCTAGAAGAGTTGGTATAAGTTTCACATTTTTTTCGAAATAACTTTGAAAAACTGCCATGAGAATGTGAAATTCCTATTTGAATATTTTCATAAATAAAGAAGTAACGGAGGAGACATGAAAATGATCAAATTCTGTTTTTTGCGTATAAAACAAAAACGAACAGATTTTATCAAAATATTATTTCACATTGTAGTTGGCCTTGACAAACTCCACATTTGGTGTCATTTAACCGACCTCGTATCTCTCACCGTTAAAAAGATACCCATGGTGAGCATGGTAAGTGGGACACACTGTATAACCCTGTACGTAATCGAATTCTCCTAATGACCCTGAATATTGAGTTTTTTAAATGTAATAGGTATACCACCGATTTATTATTTTGAAAATCGCAGGAGAGAACTAGAAAAATATTGAAAAACTGAAAAAACTTTGACTCCGTATGTATTGGAAACGAAGTTCCCACGCATATAATTGTTTTATGTTCACATGACCTTTTCATCTTGAAAATATGTGTTCTTCAAGCTGTTAAAATCTTGCTACAAAAAACTGACTCACCCTGCATACTGGGTGACACGTTTCGGGCCACCCCTGTTACTTATGCATTCGTTAACGGATTTTTTCTGAAATTTGGTACAGTTATATAAGCAACCATTACGGATTTGATCACTCTACAATCCAAAATGGCGGAGTTCCGGTTTTTCGGGAAATACCAGCAACTTTGTTTTTTCAAATGGAACACCCTGTATATTTCAACATATTCAAGTTTAACAGGTCAAAACCTTTATTGAATTGTCATGTGATAAAATCCGAAATGGTTGCATAAATAACTGTAACAAATTTTAGTAAAATCCGTTCACGAATGCAGAAGTTACAGGGAAGGCCCACCCTGTGTCACCAGGTATACGACGAACATTATAGGAATTTCCTTTCGTGCGCTCCAAGAGATAAAAAGCAAGAAATTGAATGAAAAAAGTAGAGTGAAGAGTGATCATTCAAATTTTAACACGCAACATTCAATTTAGTAAGTGACAATAAATCTTCAACGGTTCAAGTATTACCATTAGAAATATCGAATTTGCTGAAACTTAAAAGTTCACTGTAAATATCCACACCTTCATTCGAACTCCATGTCAACAAGAACTATAATACAAAGGCATTCTCTCTATAGTTAACTATTAGACAGTAAAGAATACCTACATCCTATTCTTCCACATTATTACCAGAATCTTTATAATGCCTAGGAGCGGAATTTATAACTACCTATTGTTTTTATCACAGAAAAAACTTAAATCAACGAATTTACCATCAATATCTATCACTGAGAAAAGTCCCAAAGACTTGAAAGGCAGAAATTTTGATTAATCGAAAATATTAATTCACAATATGAGATCATTCTGCAGGTAGAAAATACCTGTTCAAATGAATTTTTAATAATCTTGTGATTATGATAGCTCCAAATAAGCCCAAACATTTCTGAAAACATTGTAACAACATTGTGTTATTTCTGGGTCATCACAAATAAATTCATGATGATGATGATGATTTACAGAATAAATAGATTAGAGTTAGGTATAATAAAATAAACCGGGATTTTTGATATGTAGACCTCGATGATTATCCAGGCAGTGGAGCTTCAGCATAGAAATCTGGTTCATCGTCATCACCATCTACTTGATCCCCATCCAGCTGTAGAAAAAAAATCATCTCAAATGCTAAAAGTGTAGTATGTGTATACAGGGTGGCTGGAATCATAGTCTCATCATTGGGACCTCGTAAACTGTAATAGGGATACAAGGTCGGTTAAATTACGGCAAAGTTGCGCAATTTCATGCCCAACAAAATGCCGTTTTAAAAGTTGAATACTTTCAAAGATATTTGGACAAAACCGAATATTACCCATTTCACTTTTTATTTTTTTTTAGACTATGGAAATTTAGATAGATGTGACAAAACAAATTACACATTTTCATTGCTACTTTTTCTATTCTACATGGTGTTATCCCCAGCAACCATGAATAGGCGGTAAATAGCCGGGCTGTAGCCGTCAGCAGCGGATATGTGTCGGCAGCGGCAAACCTATATCGGCAAAATGTTAGAATGGCATTGGATGTACAGGATGATTCACCATAAATGTCACCCCCCTCTAGCTCAGTTATTTTTGAACCGATTGCAAAATTTTGAATATCATCTAAAATGTAAAAACTTCACAAACGATAAGATTTCCACAAAATTCAATTCAAATTCAAAAGTACAGATTGCAGTCAACAACGGATACAACGTTAATTTGATACAGTATTCTTTCTAAGAAACCTCATCATAAAGCTACTCAAGAAGTTTATCCTACCATCAAGAATAATAATCAAAATTAACTTTAACCTATTTCGGATCATCAACTGAGAAATTAGCTTCATTTCTACATAAGCAGGACTTGAAAGTGGCATATAGAACAAATAACACGTTGGGACGGTTTATCAAGAATAATAAAGACAAAACTTCTAAATTCGAAAAATCAGGGGTATAAAAACTCAACTGTGAATCTTATTGTCCTAAGGTATATATCGGTCAGACAGGTCGTACGTTTAATCAGCGCATTCATGAGCATAAGATGAATTTTATGAAAAAGAAAACAAATTCAACATACGCCAACCATATATTAGAAGAAAACCATAGTTTTGATGATAATTTCGAAATACTGCACGTAGAAAATAAAGGACTGAAACTCAATCATTTTGAATCATTAGAAATCAACAAACTCAAAAATTTTTACATTTTACTTAATGATCAATTAGACCTCAATAGTTCACCACTGTTGAATTTGTTTTCTTAGTAACTAATTATACAGTATGATGCAAATGTATGGAATAAATTCATTTCAAAACAAGACGACTTTATAAAAAAAAGCAAAAACTGGAGTTTAGAATTTTTTTTTCGACGTATTTTTTAACTAGACGACCCTTCGATGTTCGATTCTCAGTAGCAGACCTATGCAAGATTCAATTAATCACATGATAATCCATTTTAATTTCAATCTTCTTATGCAACATTTTGACTGTTGAATAGACGATCGGTAGATCTTTCAATCAAGGTGTCACATGACCCCTATTTGTATTTGAAAAATCGTCCATTACGTCTTTACTCCAACACCGGTGACGTAACATCTCTCATATGAATATCATGAGATGAGGCTTCAGAAATTAAAACTCACGTGTTTTTGGAATTTTTTCAAATGTCGCCCATTTCTGAAATAATGGATTTATTCCATACATTTGCATCATACTGTATGTATTTGCTATCAACTCTTTCAAGTTAATCAGGTATACCGTATTTTAATGTAGATATTGTGCCTAATTTCCGAAAATGGAGGTTTATGGTACCTGTCCACACCACAGGTAACTAATTCTTCAGGTTGGGAAACTAAGATATATAAAAGTTGAGCAAGCCAACGTGAGTTTAGTTCATTGTACCAGTATATCACCTGACTGTGTTAGCAAAACATTTCGTGTGTTTGAGAATTTTGTGGAAATCTTATCGTTGTGGAGTTTTTACATTTGTCATGGATTTCCATCAAGTAACGGCCGAGTCAATTCAAAAAATCATCTAAAATGAATTTCGATAGAGTTTTTTTTCGCTACATCAGAAAATACAAGGTGCTCGGAACAAACGATCTACAGGATACTATTTGGTTTTTTTAAATGGTACACTTTTTTTTCATAGTATTTTTTTATTGTTCCTGAAGAGCTGATTTCATCAATGTCTCACACTTGGGGTCTAGCGAAAATGATTACAGAGATATAGAGTGTTCAAAATCAATATTTTTCAACTTAAGGATTTTTTAGTACGAAACTATTCATTTTCGGTCAAAACGGCTTTTATGTCCGTATCTCAACTTTTGATTTACTATCCACTGACATTTGATAATTGGAACAGATACAGGGTGATCAGAATTCTGAATCTTGAACCACACTGTATACAGGGTGGGCCACCAGTAACGCCTCGGTCTCTAGAAGGCTAACCACTCATCTTCTTGGAATTCTTCCTCTCTAGGAAGTTGCATGTCAACATAGGCTACCATTTGAAATTATTTTGAAACATACAGGATGTCCCCAAAAATCACAAAACACTGAAGTTGAACTTTTTTCAATCGAACACCCTATATATTATTTCATTTTGAGATTCTCTCTGGTGAGCTGATTTCAACAATCCATCATACTTGGGGTCTAGCAGTTATAATTACTGAGATATAGGGTGTGAGAAATCGAGATTTTTCCAAGTTCAAGAATTTTTTGTGTCTAAACCATTCATAATTGGTCAAAACGGCTCACATGTCCCTATCTCAACTTTTGATCAACTATCTACTGACATTTAATTGAAACGAATACAGGGTGGTGCAGAATTCAGAATCTTGTCTATATGTCCCAATTAAATCATCAGTAGATAGTGAATCAAAAGTTGAGATAGGGACATAAACACACACACAAAAAAATCTTGAACTTGGAAAATCTCGATTTTTCACACCCTATATTTCAGTAATTATAACTGCTAGACCCCAAGTATGATGGGTCGTTGAAATCAGCTCATCAGGGAGAATCTCAAAATGAAATAATATATAGGGTGTTCGATAGAAAAAAGTTCAACTTCAGTGTTTTATGGTTTTTGGGGACACCCTGTATGTTTCGAAATGATTTTAAATGGTAGCCTATGTTGACATGCAACTTCCTAGAGAGGAAGAATTCCAAGAAGATGTGTTCGATATATAATACGATGAATGAAACCATTGACATCTTTTGCTGCAGTTTGGCATCCTTAAAAAAAATGGACTGTTCTGTTTTTTCCAATGTGTAATTTTATGTATTAAGAAAATAATTTTAGTAATACACTTAGTATATTCCTATTCTGTAATTGGATCTTGTATCTGTTGAATAGTGTAATAAAAAAAAAAAAAAAAAAAAAAAAAAAAAAAAGAAGATAAGTGGTTAGCCTTCTAGAGACCGAGGCGTTACTGGTGGCCCACCCTGTATGTCCCAATTAAATGTCAGTAGATAGTGAATCGAAAGTTGAGATAGAAACATTGAAACCGTTTTGACCAATAATGAATAGTTTCGACACAAAAAAATCCTAAAGTTGAAAAATCTCGATTTTGAACACCCTATATCTCTGTAATCATTCCTGCTAGACCCCAAGTGTGATATATTGCTGAAATCAGCTCTTCAGGAATAATCTTGAAATTCAATGGAATACAGGGTGTTCCATTAGAAAAAATCAACTAATACTCTGTAGATCCTTTGGTTCGTTTGTTTATCAACTTCATAATCATAATCAAGTTTTACGGAATTCCAATCATTCGATGGATATGAATATCAGGCCGGGTGCGGTTTCATGGAAACTTGAACATCTTGTGTATAATATGTTGTCTGATTCAAGAAATGCAATGATCATGAATCGATGTTGATATTAGATTACTACGAAATGTCCAAAAATGAATTGATTTCAACCGGTCACTTTTTCGGAAATAATTGAACATTTGCTATTTTTGGACCAACTCTGTATATCGTGAGTATGTGCAGGTATCGTTGAACTCTATAGTGAATTTTCACCGGCCACATGAACAAACAAAACGCAGTCGATTTGATTTTGGTATTCAAAAAGGAAACTTCACGAAACTTCATTCGAAATTTTGAAAAAGTCAACTTCAGCACCATGTATAAACCAAACTATTGAATTTAGAGCGTTGATAATTGGGACATCTGATCAGCATCACGAGTTCTACGATATATCCAAAATTTGAGAAAATTCACCGAAAGCCAATTTCCCCCCTATTGCGGTGCGGGGTTCTTTCACGAAGAAGTAAAAATCTCAATATAGGAAGCTTCCCCAATCTGACAAATAAGCAGCTAAAGACGACTTTTGAATATTCACATAATAATGTTGAAAATTAACTTACCGCTCGCAATTCTCTTTGAGAGAAAAAATGTGGCAATTGCGATCTCAATGGAACCATCAGAATTAGAAAGAAAGGAAAAGCTAGAGAGGCCTTGGTGGATTTCACTATCCATAATATTACCAGACATATCAGCTGGATTAATGTGAAAAGATGCATCTTATATGTTGTAACCTAAAACAAAAACATTATTTATACTTGGGTAAAATATTCGACTTGTAGAATATTAGCTTAAAAAATTACTCGTCAACAAAAGTAAAAATGCTTATGATTCCTGAACTATGATTAATATGTTGTACATTAAAACAAAAATAGAATGAGAAAAAAGGAAAACTGTCGATTAAAAGAGATCATCGAATTTTTTGTGTTTTCTAAGAAGTTTTCACCCTTATTTTGAAAATTAAAATATTCAGATTATTCAAACTATTTGCGCCGGACTAAAATGCATGACTTGAATGAAATATGAAATAAATTATTGAAGCTATAACCTGATACTTCGTTATATCACTTACCCTCCTGACATATGAAGTTTGGGGGTGATGTTTCACTGGCATGAAGAATAATCTCGTTCTATCGAAAAACTGTATACCATCTGTGGACGCCACTCCCATGTAAAGGAATATACCCAATACCACAGCCATTGGTACTAGTCTCAATAGAGGCGACATCAAAACGGACAATCCTTCAAAAAATAAAATTATCATGAAATTCAGACAAAATTCTTGCAATCGCGACATGTTTCGCTAAGAAATTATAGCTTATTCGAATGAAATACTCCTGCAATAAATCAAGCTAACATGCTTATGTATACCTATAGGAACCTTGTCTAGTTCGTCTGACTGATATTGCTAGTGAAGGGATGATAGCAAAGATTTCTGAAGAACATTTCCCGTGGAAATATCGATAGAAAAGTGGAAGGTCGCCGACCTTTCTACGGTGTTCCAATGATGTCAAAGAGTGAGTGAGTGTGGCGTCACCCACCAGGCGAATGGCTCTTCTCTGGATGGAATCTAAGAGCATCAGCGTATGTTTTGGTGCTGAACCAGAATGTCTTTTGTTCACAAAGGTACCAACTTGTACGTTGTATGAATGTTATTTTTGTTTCCATTTTGGTGAACAATAAAAGTATTGTAATGATATTCCCCTTAACGGGGCACTAGAATCATCAGCTGGAAGACAGGAGTACAACAATCATCCTGTAACACGCATCCCAGATCGTTCGCCAACCTCCCAATGATTCCTACATGCACGAGCATATTTCCGAACACTCAATATATGCCGCAGTGACAAATAACGTCACAGAAGATTCTGGAATGTTCTGGAAACAATCGATGGAACAATTAGAGAGAGAGGTTTCGTTCTAAGATGCTTCTAGAACAAGAAGAAGGAGGCGGAAGATCATTCGAGAACGTTCTCGAACCAAAGTCTGCCATGTGTTCTCATATATAAGACAGCCGAACAACCGAGTCAGTCAGTTAAACAGCGAGTGTCAGAGAGACAGTTATATACCGCGTTATATAAATCGTTTTACATAGATAGTAGTTATAAGTTCGATATAAATTAGTGTTTCTTTAGTTTATATAAATCAGTTCGAAAATAAATAGTGTCTGTTCGCTTCTGCACCCGAATAACGTAACAGTATTATTATGATGAAAGAATCCATCATAATACATATAAATTTCTCACAATGTTTTGAAGCCGCCCCTAGCACGGTCGCGTATCTACTGCGCATGTTCACATTTGCCGTTCGGGCCACGTTAGGGCAAACTTGAATAGAACGATATTGGCCTTCTAGGTCTTTGAGTTCTGTGGTTTTTACCTATCAAAATCGAGACCATCAGGGCGGAGAGCCGCTGCTCCTTGACCTCGATCAGATGCGGCTTCTCTCCCGGCGCATGCGTTCTGGACATCACCGTCAGCGCCGACGTGTGCACGATGGATCGCACGGCAGCCGCGCACAGCCAAGGGAAGCCGAAGAAGCCGCACAGGATGTTGATCAGGCAGACGATGACGATGTCCAGGTGCAGACCGCTGCCCTTCTTCAGTTTGCGCTCCGGCTTGCTGATGATCAGTCTGGAAGCGGGTGAACAGGGTGTTTCAAATTTGATCCTCATATTTCCCTATAATACAGACTATCCAATGGATGCCCATTTCAGGTCCGAAAAAGGATCGAATGTCACTGGACAAGAAATGTACATTGGATGCACCAATATTCCTGTCCAATGGAATACCACTGAACCTATTCCAATGGATATCCAAACAAGTTTCGGATATTCATGAACATCAATTGTACATCCATTGGATAAACCTAAATGATCATTCAATGGATAACTGGTGACTGGAAGAATGCATATGCTATCGTCATCTTTGTTTCGTGTTCTGCCTGTTCGTCTGCATCAAGTCGCAGCAGTTTGTATCGTTTGACGCAGATTCATGCAGCAATATAACAAAAGTAACTATTTCAGCATGTTATCATATTTTTAAAAGGAGGCTCATGCAACTATAGTGAACTTAGTGAATTAATTATTAGAGGTCTATGGTGTAATAATTACTTTTTCATTTGTTCACATAATATTTTAGGACGAGTGTAGTGTGTGTTCTCTCATTTATTATTTTTTAAAGAAATCATCCATCGTTATATATAATATGAAATAACCAATGCAGGGAAATTGTAATTGAATAATGAACAATGTATGAATCAACCATTTAACCTGTAGAAGTGCATACTATGAGCTGGGCTGGGCCAAAACAGCTCTACTTTAGACTCTTGAGACAAACTTTCAAGAAAAAATGTATTCTGAATATATATAGGGGGAGAGTTTTATTTATGCTGTCCAAAACTTATATATAAATTGTACAATTTATGTACAGTGTTTGTACAATAGATGTGCTGTAGTTGCGCATTTACCTAACTAACAATATGCTGTTTAGAAAGGTTCTAAATTGCAAGTATGTCCGGAAATAATCGGAAAAACTGAAATCTTGGAAAATTGATTTAATTTTTTGGTTGACTTATTGTAGGATTTCCAAATAAACCGCATTTTCCCATTGCCATTTTTTCTCTACCACATGATGGTGCGTTCCGACTTGCTAACCGACGTTTCGTCACCCGGCCACTATCAACAACTTTATTTTTTTCAATAAGCGCCATATTGTTTTTTTTTCTGTTTTGAAAAGAACCTGTTATTTTCTCTTCAATAATGTATCACAAGTTGCCATACTTCCTGCAAAAATCGGAGATATTTCAAAAAACAAATCATTATAGTAGACTTTGAGTTTGATGTTTCACATTCAATCTGTCACACTTAATGACATTCGCTTATTTTGTATGTCACTGTATTTCTGGCGAAAATGGCTTTCACACAATATTGTTAGAGAGTTCGAAAAATTGAGGAGAGAAGTTAATCGTGCAGTGAATAATATTCAAAGAAGGGTAGAGTGATACAAAGTGATTCTGAAATTGGGGTAATGAATAAAATGAGGTGTTCTATGATTCCTGATTACACGATAAATCACAAAATCAAATAGTTTCGAAAAATATTCAAAGAATGTATGCTCCCACCAGATACAACCTCATTAAACTATTATTGAACGTCCGGCAACATTGCAAAAGTCATTGATACTTCCGGTGCTTCCAAGAAAGCTTCAGAAAAAATAATTTGTCAAAACCAATGTATTGACTCTTTTATTATCGATTGAGGATTATTCATTGAAAAAAAAAGCTGGAATGAGAAACAGGTAAGTTGGTAGTCACGATACCATGAGGTAGGAAGCTGTAATGATATGAATCAAATCAACCCTATTATAATTTGAATTCAAATTGTGTGAAGCAACGGCTTGAGCTATACACATATATAAAAGAAACATAACTTGTGAATAATTCAGTCGCAATAGTCTTTTGGGTTGAGGTAATTTTCTCGTTCTCATATTTTTTCACTTTTTTATCTATTTCTGGTGAATAAATATGCACTAATAGATGAATGTGTCCTACTTTTTTTGTGAAACTCACGATAACCCAATCAGATTTTACATAACTGTATACATTGTCGAAATAACTATGTATCTCATAAACGGAAACAAGTTATTCGAAATCTGATTAGGTTATCTTGAGTTTCAGAACAAAATTAGGAGAGGATCGGGAAACCGCATTTGATAATAACCGACAAACCTATCATATTCAACCAAAATGTAATGCACTATACACAATAATGTGAACTTGGTATGAATAAATTTCATTCTATCTATCTTTCTTTCTCAATTACTGGAATATAACTGACTATACATGCTCATGCACTGTTCTAGTTTGGGCTCTAATAATGAAATATTCGTAAATAGTTGTTTCTTACTCCGCTATGTGTGTTTCCATGAACAGTAAAATGTATACAAGTAATGCTGGGATCACTGATACGAACATGATCCAAACAGGAACACCGTCTGGGGGAATGAACCATTTCCGTTTGCTTGTGTCCGACGGAGAGAAGCCTAAAGGCACGTTCAGTTTCTCTGTGTATATCTCTGGCACATTGTAGTCGGCCAAAACCATTATTATTATTGCTATAGGCACGCCGAAATCTCCCAGAGCTCTTCTAGCCTGAAAAAATCACATTCTGTGAATCAAGTATTTTTTTTATTATTGAAGATGATATATTCACATATACTCAGTCGAATTAACTATTTAACAAAATTTCTGTTCAATATAAAAAGGCATTGAAAGTATTGTATCGTCTTCCATATGATACTTCAACAAATCAAGTGTATAAGGAAACAAACAAATTTTCTTTGGAAGAGCACTTTTTAATCAATACTCTCAAATTTTCCTATTATATCATCAACAAAAAGCTAAAATCAAATTTTATATTAATTAGGAATTCCGAAATATATATATCAATATAACTTGTTTCATCTTGAAGCTGCAAATTCTGAACTTGGATAAATAAAGTTTACACATGAGGCGATTTCGAAATTCAATAAATTATCATATGATATCAAAAACAGCCCAAATATTATACAATTCAAAAAATAGTGAAGAAATATATTTATATATGCAAAGGAATGATTTGTTAGGACATATGATTATAAACTTGTAAGGTACCTATATAACAAAATAAAGAATAGTGGTGGCACCGCAAATATTCGTTGTGGACGAGCAATGATCAAAAGCAATGTCATTTGTCGTATTTGTTGTTATTAATGATTTTCCAGGTTTCGTGTGATTAGTCTTCGGTGTTTCAGTAACTCATTTAGTGTTAAATAAATAAATCTGAACCAGACTATTATTTTGTGAAACAATATGGAACAGCAGTATAAATCTGTGAAGATGAGTTAGATTCAAATATCCTAACCTTATTTTCACAGATATGTAGAAATTTGGTCCAGTGGCGTTTTGTTTTGAGGGCTTTTCTTCCTTGATGAAAAAAAAACTATTTCAAAGTTTGTTAGACAAGAAGCCAAGATTAGTGGAACTAAAAGTTATTTGGATTTCCACTGTGAGACTGATGAGTTTTATTTGATACCAATATAGTCGCCTGTATGTGATACTAGCACTATATTCAATTTTAGTGCCTCTGCTAGTCAAATCTGTCAGACCGCCAAAGAGTAAAATCCCTATCCCTGCTTCACGAATTACCAAAATGAATCGACATAGGTAGAGATTTCAAAATGGACTGAAAGAATACTCACAGTCCTTCCTAGAAACTGACCGTTCCTGAACAATCTCTCAAATAATAGGCAATGGCCAATGTTCCAAACGTCAAAATCATACAAAACAACGCAATATTTTTCTGCTTTGCCTTACGTCACAGTATCCCTGACCGTTAATTCTATTCCCCGTAACTCCATTCCCCAAACAAAACATAAAAACAAATTCACTGTACCATTTCTCATTTTGACGAATGTTATAGTACTTTTTCTAGCAATTAATCAATTAGTGTTACTGCCTATTTAGAGAGTTCAAAAAGGACTGAAAGAATACTCACACTCTTTTCTTGTATAGAAACTGATGACTAATCCTAAACATTCTCAAATGATAAGCAATGGCAAACGTCCCAAGCATCAAAATCTTACAAAACAAAGCATTAATCGGTTGATTAGAGGACACCTCCACATTGCATTTCTTCACTGTATCCCTAACCTTTCTATTCCCCGTAACTTCATTCCCCGAATTGAGCATTGAAAAAAAAATTTACAGTTCCTGCCTACTAATAGAGACAAAAGAGTTGAAAATGGACTGAAAGAGTACTTACACTCCTTCCGAGAAACTGACTGTTCCTGAACATCCTCAAATAATAAGCAATGGCAAACGTCCCAAGCGTCAAAATCGTACAAAACAACGCAGTATTTGGTTGATTAGAAGGCACCTCCACATCGTCTCTCTTCACCGCATCCCCGACTGTTCTATTCCCCGCAGTGCTGTTACTCGCAGTGCTGTTCCCCGCAGTGCTGTTCCCCGCAGTACTATTCGCGACACAATAATCGCCCATCAGCGGATGCTTCGTGTACAAATAAAACACTTTGACAACACTCTCGAGGATGTACAGCAGCACGATGAGGGCGGAGAAGATGTCCTCGGTGAAGCGGGTGAACAGCTTTACGAAGACGCTACCTAAAATTCGTAGAAATATCGTTTACGTCATAGCAACAAAGCAGAATTCCATAAGGGCGCATCAGTTACACTAGTCAAAACGCGTCCAAACATAAATAATGTAAATAGTTCTCCCCGAGGCATATAGCCTTCTTTCAGCTGTGCCCGAGGTTATCCCTAATATTTTCTGAATCGATCTGAGTCTAGAAGTGTAGATTTCGAAGTATGCTATCCGACGGTGGTTCTGAATCAAATAGAAACTTTTTTGAGCTGTCACACCATTGTCGTTCTAAATGACAACCTAGTTAGGTAGGTAGTAGGCAAGAGCTATAATAGCTCCTCCCGTACTAGATCGCCTACTAGGTTTTCATTTAGATCGACAATGTTTTCAGACAGAGTTGTACCAAGCACTGACGAAAAGGGCTTCGAGCATTAGGCACTATTATTGATAAAATTTTCGCTATTACTAAGCACTTTCAGAAAGTAATTCGACATAGCAAGCACTATAAGCACTAAGTACTTTTGAAAAGACGTGAAGAACTTCTTGACATGGTTTTTGTTTGTTAACTCAGCCGCCTATCTTCACCTTCAGTTTTCAATGTAGCCATGACATATTATTCGATAGACTCACCTTGTAATTGTGTAATTGTGCTCTGCTACACATTTAAATCAATATAAGATGCATGTGGAAGCGATCAAAAATTCATCTTGAGTGAAGGTGCTACCAGTCAATTTTTCATGTTTTGACAAGTTGTAAGTATGGGAAGGCATAGTGCTTAGTAATCCTGACAAGAGTTCCAGAGTACTTTTCGGGATTACTAAGCACTGAGCCTTTTAGTAAAATGCTCGAAGCACTAAGAACTGGTTCAAAGAAGTGCTCGGGAGCACAGTGCTCTGGTTGCTTTAACGAGCACTAAGTACAATGCTTTGGGATAGTTCTGCTCTCAGATATTTCAATGAAATAGAATTTTGCTTCACGAAGACGTAATCTGGTTGAAAAAAAAAAAAGATTTATTTTGCTTATTTTTCCTGTGGAAAGGACATTCCAAAAATCTCTGTGGAATCGCTGCAAAATCGATTATTCAAGAGGATATTTCAGATGAAACATCTTATTCAACTCGGTATAAATAGTATAGTGGCGGAGTTCTTTGAGGGCTTGTTTGTGTTCATGAAAATCGTGATTTATTAGATACACACCGGCAAAAATAACGACCAACAATTTGGCCAAATTCTCCATCCTATAACTTTTTCAATCATTTTCCGATTCTTGTGAAATATTGATCAAATTGTAGATTTATGTTCCAGAATTAACTATCTCATAAATATTTGGGGATCTTGTTCCAAAAATAGTTTCAACAAAATTTCTGTTCTATATAAAGAGGCATTGAAAGTATTGTATCGTCTTCCATATGATACTTCAACGAATCAACTGTATAAGGAAACAAACACATTTTCTTTGGAAGAGCACTTTTTAATCAATACTCTCAAAATTATATCATCAACAAAAAGCTTAAGTCAAATGTTATATCAAACAGGAATTCCGAAATTCATGATCATCACACTAGACAATATAAATTGTTTCATCTTGAAGCTGCAAATTCTAAACTTGGGCAAAGAAAGTTTACACATGAGGCGATTTCGAAATTCAATAAATTACCAGATGATATCAAAAACAGCCCAAATATTATGCAATTCAAAAATAAAGTGAAGAAATATATTTATATGCAAAAGAATGATCAAAGCTGAAAGACTATGAATTTCCTTTTTTTTTTCACAGTTTTTATTTTTCCCCTTCTTGTTCACTATAACATGACTGTTATTTTGAGATATCTTAATGATATGTAAGTTTTGTTCACTATTTGTAATTTCAATTATACAACAGTCGATAATACTTCATGATCGATCTTATACCAGGAATTACTGTCTGATCATTCATGTCATTCCTACTAGAAAATTAATTATACTTTATATATTATTTGTATGAAATGTATCAATGAAGAAGAGAATGTAATGCAATAACTGAAATAAAATAAAATAAATAAAATAAATATTAGTCTGAATATTAGTTTCCATGAAAAGCTGATGACTTGATCATTATACAGGGAAAAACCAAAGGTACTCTTTCACCCTCTACTTCTTAACACCCTGTAGCGAAACTTATTGAAATTGTTTATGAATAGTCGAGATGTTGTGATTTCTTTATTAGGAAAACCGAATCAGTTTATTAACATAAAGTTCAATACGACAGTTCAATTAAATTATTTCTTCTGACTGCTAACTTCAAAACATATATATATACAGAGTATATAAATATCATAGCTTCAACTTAACAATTTGGTCAGCTCAACTTCAACACTTTCCCTTGTTAAATGAAGATATGAGATCATTTATGCAGGATCACAATAGTCCCATCTGATTGCATAACACTTGTAGACGTGGCCTTGGTAAACTCTTCGTCATAATGTCTGCAACCTGCTGTTCAGTTGGAATTTGTTGGATTCCCAATGTTCCTTCGGTTACTTTTTCCCTTATGAAAAAATGTTTGATTGCTATATGTTTAGTTCTGCGGTGAAATTCGGGGTTCTGAGCTAATCTCACTGCTGCTGAATTATCTACTGGCAGAACAGTAACGTTCTTTAATTTAATGATTCCCTCGAATAATCTCGCCAACCATATGATTTCTTTGGTTGCTTCGTTCGCTGCCACGATTTCAGCCTCTGTTGTAGAGGTTGCTACCATCACTTGTCTTTGGCTAAACAACGAAATTGCACCACCTGCGTAACATACGACCACCCCTGATGTTGATCGTCCTGTCGTCGTGCATCCACCAAAATCTGCATCACTGTAGCATTCGAGAGAACCTTTGTTGAAATTGGGACGGTAGACTATACCCAAATCAAGAGTGCCAGCTATGTATCTGAACACTCGTTTCACTCTTGCAATATCTTCTACAGTTGGTTTCTCTAGCGATCTTGACAGAAACCCTACACTGTAGGCTAGATCTGGTCTGGTTCCAAGCATAAGGTACATCAAAGCGCCAACTGCTTGTCTGTATGGAAAGTCATGAGCTTCCTCATTAGCTTTCCCTGATTTAGATATTTCTGGATTCTTCTGGTATACTGAATCACTGACTGAAGATGTGATCATTGACTTGGCATAACTATTTGCCTTACGATATAAATCGGATTTTTCTTTGTACTCTCTAACTTGAGCTGCAGTAGCACCATCGTCTAATGGAGGAGCCTTCACTAGCTTTCCATCGATAGCATCTAACGCTCCTTCATGATAATCTAGCAGATCCCTGATTTTCCTTTTCCACATAGGCCAGTCTGTCTCACCGGTCAATGGTTTGATGTGCTTCGATAAATCCATTCTGATATGGCTGTTTAACGACACTTCAAATTGGGAATTTACAAAATCACAATACGACTGTTTGCGTGCATGAGCCCATAACCTATTGAAATTGTTTATGAATAGTCCAGATGTTGTGATTTCTTTATTAGGAAAAACGAATCAGTTTATTAACATAAAGTTCAATACGACAGTTCAATTAAATTATTTCTTCTGACTGCTAACTTCAAAACATATATATACAGAGTATATAAATATCATAGCTTCAACTTAACAATTCGGTCAGCTCAACTTCAACAAAACTGAGTGGTTGTACTTGGTTTCATTATGCTTTGGATTTAAGCATGATTCCTTCTCAACACAATAGATTTGATTCACGTCAATATCTTATCTTTAAGAGAAGATACGAGTGTTTTAAGAAAGTATGGCATTTTTCGATTTTTATTAACAATAATCAGAACCTACATAAACTTATTGATTATATTGATTATGAACTCAAAAAACTTCAATTACAAAAAACAAACCAAAAGCAGACCTGTAGTCAAGAACGATGAGTATGCCCTCCTCGAGTTTGAATTACAGTATTCAACCGCCAGGGTATAGAGTTGATCAAGTCGTCTTGAAGAATTGCCTAAAATTCTCCTCGAAGGACGAATCGTAGCTCTCGAAAAGTCTCTGACAAGGCCTGACGAAGGCGAATGATCCTCTGGGAGTTCATCCTTGAGATCCTTTATAGGTTCTGAATTATTGTTTATGAAACTTAAAAAAATCCATACTTTCTTGAAACACTTATATCTTCTTTTATAAAGAAGATATTGACGTGAATCTAGAACCATTGTGTTGAGAAGGCACGAAAAAGAATCACACTTCAATTCAAAACATGATGAGGCAGAAGGTTGGAGAATGGTTCTGAATTATTGATAATAAAAATAAAAATCCCTACTTTCTATAAACAGTTGTATATTATATTTAAAAGTGGTTTTCGACGTGAATCGAAAACTATTTTGTTGAGAAGGGATCATACTTCAATCCAAAACATAATGAAACTAAGTTTAACTACTCATCTCTGCCACAGGGCGTTAAGAAGTTAAACAAAAGAGTCACTTTTGTTTTCTCCTGTATGATGATCAAGCCATCAATTTTTCTTAGGAACTAATATTCAGGATAATATTTCGGAATATGAATATACAATTTGGTCGAAATTTCACCAAAATCGGACTTACTGAGAGAAACAATTTGGCAACATTTTTTGGTGTCCGGTTTTTTGTGCCGGTGAGTGTATAAAATATAGGTACCTATTATAAATATCAATTGTATGGGAATGATTCCGCAGAATTATTCCCACCATTCGCGATTTCATTCACGTCATCATTAAATATATCTTTTCGGTTGGAAAACCGACAAAAATTATGACTCAATCCTATGTATGATTGTCTTCGGACATTTCCGTATGCAAGGAAAGACAATGCCAGAGGACGAACAGGGAAAAATGGAGACTGTATAGTATCATCCTGCCAGCGATGCTTCAATAGTGCATGGTTTCGAGCATAGACCTATTATCCACAGGAGACGGAACTATTTACATTTGAATAGGATCAGACATTTCCAAATTCTGGTCCACTGTATGTTCTTAGTGTGGTCGACTAGATTGTGCGGTTGCCAGATATTCGGTTAAGGAAGGAGATTCACCATAGTTATCATAATACGTTTAATAATTTAAATCAACATATTAGGAGCAATACAGTGCTGATCATATGCTCCGACTGATAATAACTCATACGGTATAATAATCTGAATTAAATAATATTATTCTCGAATTAATTACCATTGAACTATTCCATTCCGTCAGATCACAGATATTCGTAACTGAAAGCACGACAAGGCCGCATACAGAATTCAGCAGCTCGTAGCCAATCACAGCCATCTCGTAGCCCTTGTGTGTGTGGTTTGTTTATGTTTTTTGTTGCGGTGTTGCATTGAGGTGGTTTTGCGTTTTGAAGTGATTTGGTTATATTTTCGTGCTTTTAATCCTATTTTTTTGTGAAATTCAGTGAGAATTACTAATTAATATGGTTCGTCAGTGCCAAGTGTGCAAAAAACTGGACTATTTAAACCCGGATGTGTCTTTTCACAAATCTCTGTCACAAGTAAAAGTAAGAATACCCATTTTTCACAATCAGTGGTGTAGACATAGAGGTATTGTTAACGTCGGGTGTGGTTGATATGGGGATATATTTAGTTTTTCGATTTTTTTATTGCTTAATAATTGCATCATGATACAAGATTGAAGATGGTTTGTAATATATCATATTTACTTCTTGGAGGTTGCAAAGCAATTCAATGTATTTTCATGAAATTTCAGGTTTCCATCTGATAGTGAGAGGAGAAAAATGTGGGTATCTCTCCTTGCTTGGCAGGAAGATCGCCACCCTACCAAATACCTCTTTCTCTGTTCTAACCATTTCCATCCAAGTGATATAATCACTAAAACAAATGGTTTGAGATATTTAAAAGCAGATGCAAACCCACTACCACTCCATTCATCATTTCAATTCACATCTGACAGGTAAATTATGCCTAGTAGATAATTATTATTGCTCCACTTATATAGGGTTGGTAAAAAAATGCTTCTTTCATTATTGAACTATGATTTAGGAATGTCAATTGAGCACATTGCGTTATTCCAGGGGGTAATTCTTGGTCAGTTACAGTTCACATAAACAATAGTATATTGTTTAATGAGCACGGAATGATAAAAATTTCCTACGAGAATTCAGTTTGCGGAAAATTAGCATTCCGCGCGAGTTTCACACTATACTTTTTCTACGGCTGTGACAGATAACAGAGACTGTTTTTATTTATTCTTCGGCTTTCAGCCATCTGATTTTCTCTCAACTCATCTATTAGATAGATCTGTCATTGCTTGCAATTTTACATTTCATGGGAGTTAAGATTTTTTTGAAATAATAACACAATGAAGTCATTGTGATATCAGATGCGGAAATAAAATTTATGACATAAAAACTACCTCATTGATTCATCGAACACAGTGAAACAAGAGCAATTTTGTGTTATAGCCGTAGAAAAAATATATATCCGGAAACTTTTCCTAAATATTTGAAGTTTCCATAAAAAAAGTTTATTAATATCTGACATTCTCTGAAATTTATTTATATTAATCAATTGGATGTTAATTTCAATTCTCAATGTTTATGTTATTTGTTGTTATTCCTGTCAAAACAACTTGGGTTTGTTCATTTGTGTTAATTAAAAGCTATTTGACATCATTTCATCTATCTCCAGCTCATTCAGTCCCGAGTTCAGTCCATTACTCTGTTTCCATTCAAAATAAAATGAATTCATTTGTCACAAAATAACAGGCCTATTGATGTAAATGTTTTCAACTTGTATTTATATTATGTTCTCACAATTTGATATGATTTTGATTATATTTTATTATCAAATATATCTATATAACAATTTTTATTTTTCATTTCATATATTGGTTTTTATCTATGTACTTTATCTGCCTCTTGATGAGGAGGTATATTCTAGGATATCCACCTACTGCCTATCTTAACCAGATATGAAACTTTAAATAAAAAAAAAGAGAATACCTAAAGTTTGTTTACCTCAAGGAGTTACCACCCCTGTAAAATCGTTATTATCTGATCGATTTGGGAACACTTTTTTGTTGATAGTCGTATTCAAAATGTCAATTCAAGGGAGTTATTTCATTCTTGGACTCTTATCGCGTGGCCAACTGTGACCAATTTTATGTACCTACCCATATTAAATAAATATAGCTCACTACTTATTCTTTTTATTTTATTTTCCTCAGACACATTGTATATTTGAATGACGAAAATCGATACAGATATGTTTGAAATAATTCTCAATAGTGATTTGTCACCAGTTATTCCCAAAAATACCTCAGTATGACATTTTCTGATCACGTCTTAAAAAACAATGATAGGTACTTGATTCGTTTTTTCGGACATCGTGTGTTTTAGGATGAAGAAAATCGACACAAGTAGGTGAGTCTGATTCAGAATCAATATTTAGTTTTTCTGAGAAAAAATTCTTTCTAGTACTTTTCCAAATATGGGTTAATGAAATTGGTCGCAGTTGCCCATGATAAGAGTCCATGAATGAATAAATCACTCTCTTGTTGAATGGACATTCCGAATACCTATCCAACAAAATAAAATTCGGAATCGATTAGATAATAACGATTTTACAGGAGTGGTAAGTCCTTAAGGTGGTCACACTGTATATATTCTCATTCATATTTTGAATCAATTGCGAAAAAAAAGTAATATTGTTCAGTGAATTCAATAAAAAATTATCTCTTTTTACCACGCCGAATCTTAAATAAATCTGCTGAATAGCTAATATGAAAATCGTCTGAAATTAGAAAATGCATTATCATTCATCATAAGAATTTGTTGATTTTCGCTTGTCTCAATCTACAAAAATGCGCCACGAGTAGTGACGGTTCAAGTCCCTATATGAATCACTATTCTATGCTATGTAACTCATTGACAAATAACATTCATATTTAGAACCTACAGCGCAGCACGCCACTGGTAGTCGTGGCCATAACGACAACAATAAAGCAGTGTTGCCAATAAGGTGGCATAATACCTGTGTGATAAAGAGGTTCGATCGGTAGTCTCTGTCATACTTATAGGGATCGTCATGTAATCATTGGGGCAAAACAAACTTAGTTTTATGAATGAGATGTTGCGTCTCCCTGAGATAATAGGTCTATGGTTTCGAGTGACTTCGGGAATCGGGATTGATCGACGGGTGTCCTGTTAGCTCAATTGGCAGAGCGTTGGGCATGTAACCCAGAGGTTGTGAGTTCGACTCTCACATTGGACGGTAGAATTTTTATATTTTCCATTGTCACTTGAAATTGGGGCTTGCCATCTTCATCAATATATATATATATATATTACGACTCACTACTACATTGTTATTTAGTCTGAACACAGTACCTTCGAAGCAGGCCACTGTCACTCCAATGACGGCCAGCCACAGGCTGATGTAGATGCGCGTCTTGAGGAAGTCGTAGCCGCCGCTTTTGCAGAACTGGAAGAGGCTCTCGTCGAAGAGCAGGAGGGCACCGGTCGTGCCTATGATGATCAACGGCTGGCCACCTGAATAAGGACATAAGAGTATGATATACATATAGAAGCAAGGGCGTCGCCAGAGAGGGACAGGGTGAAGCAGCTACCCCCACAACACTTGCCACAAATTCTAGAATGGTGAGGGAAGTGCATCAGCGTTGCTTATTGTTATCTCTTCTCCGTTAGAATACTAGCGCCTAGAGACAGGAGGTAACAAATATAATAAGCGCGGCAACTGAGGGTACAGCGACTAAAGTCTTTCCCCTTACTACCACTCGTGGCGTAGTTAACGCGTTTGAATCTCACGTCGGCGACCCGGGTTCAATGCCTGCGACGGTCGGCTTTTTCAATTCTTTTTTCTCAACTGATTTTCCTAAAAAATGTTTAGCAAGAAGGTTCATTTTGCCCGATTAATGTTAAATGGTTTTATGCAGGATGGGTATTTTCCTTCCTCCCTGAAAAATTACTGTCTTTTTAGGAAGAAGGTTCATTTGGGCCGAGGAAGGTTAGAGTAGTGTCCTTTTTATGGAGGTGTGATATTTTCCTTCCTCCCTGAAAAAACTACTATGGAGGCATTTACTGTTGAGAAAAAGTTCTGATTAAATTATTTTATAGAGTAAAGGTTTGTTTTGGCCGAGTTAGCTTGTGTTGTATCATTGAAGTACTTGCTTCCTCAAGTTAATGAAAATCAGCACTATTCTATTTTATGACGCAGAATCCGCAGACGCAAGTCTCACCAGTCACCCTGCTAATTGAAATGACTATCTCATTCATCACATAATCTGACCAATTACAAGCCAGAGACAACGTGTGCTCATCTTAAGTAATATCACGATGTTCTGAATATTTGAAATGATTATGGTGCTTCCTTGATCACGAAATGTAAATGTGCGATGTAAATATTATATGGAGAGAGAATAAACAACTTTGATATAAGATAATAGGTTCGATGCCCCAGCAGGGTGAGCTGTTTATTCATTTTCTTCTTTTTTCTATAATATACCAACCAGGAATGGTTTATTTGCAGCGATTAAATGTTCGCAAAACGCTTTGGAAAGGTTATGTTGTGTCCATGGAAAGGCTATAAAAAAACCAGGGATAATTTATTTCCATGACATCCCAAGGATATCCTTATAAACGCCGCCTGCAGACATCGGCTGTTCTATGAAATTTCTATTCATGTGTGAACAGGACATCGCAGTGGAGTTTGTATCGATATCTCGTACTCATAACATCTCTGAGATGCAGGGAATAACATGTAGGTCTTGTCATGTTGTAGCCATCTAGCGGCAAAGCTCTGAGGTAGGATCAAGAGATCGCGACATACACTCTATGGTGCTGCCATCTATAGTCGCACATACAGACCCTTACGTCTATACGCTACAGAGTGGTACTACAAGTAAACCACTCTGCTGACAGATGGCACTACCAGATATACTTGAGTGGATTTTTCCACCGACCTATTCGACTGCTAGATCTCATAACTGAGAGATCCAGGATGAACAGAGTTGCCCCAATTGTCAGCAGGAGCGAGACAGTACTGTTTCAACCCACCAACTAGCAGTTGGTGGTCGGAGAACATGCCGTTACATAACGGAGATGACTGTAGCGCGCTGATTTGGCATATCCAAATCTTCCATTTATCTCTGGGGTGTGCTGTCGGTATAAGTCGAGAGACAGGTGACGGCAGTCATAACCCAGGGGAGTCTTGGGAAAGGGAGGTGGGACTTGGTCTCACCTGTTGATACCCCGGCAGCATTTAAACATTCCGGTATAGGATTCGGCACCTGCTTAAATTCTATTGGCCGATTTTGATTAATCTGACCAATTGAAGGCGGAGTGCCGAAATTCGTACCAGAATGTTGAGCGGTGCTGACACACAGGTCGGAATGTTGATGAAATGAAAGCTCGAGATAATGTGTAATGAACGCATTTTTCAATAACTTCAGAAATTTTCACTTACATTCATGATGATTATTTGGTATAAAAGTTTTAAATGAATGATTATATGTGATAAAATGAGATAATAAATTCGAAATAACACCTAATGTCTGTTAATGTCCTATTCCATGGGATTTAGCGTTTGGTTGATTTCTCGCCACGTTACCTGCCAAACTGCGTCTTCGTCTTCTTCGAATACATTTCATGAGCAAATAAAAAAATATTTAAAAAACATAAAATTGTTACCTGTACGAGAATCTTTTAATATTTGTAGGGCCTGATTTGAAACGCCATGATGTAAACGACTGAGCTTCATAATCATTCATCCATTGCACAACTTCTCTGTTTCATTCTTCATATTGCCCCTATACAAAATTTTCTGAAACTTTTATTAATCTTTCCATAATTAGTGATTTATAGTATACTTCACTAATTGATGATTGCACTTAACTATAATAACAAGATTGCAGGTTTGTTGTTAGCATGTGGGAACGACGGTATAATCAAAAAATACGCAGGTTAGGTAAATGCGAGGGTAAATGTAAACAAAAACCGCGCAAAATGCAGGGCAACATTCCGACCTGCTTTTCAGCACCGCTCAACATTCTGGTACGGATTTCGGCACTTCGCCTTTAATTGGTCAGACAAATCAAAATCCGCCAATAGAATTTAAGCAGGTGCCGAATCTTATACCGGAATGTTTAAATGCACCCCGGCAACCTTATTGATTGTTTGTGCTCGCTGGGAGGAGATAAAACAAATAAAAATTGGAGAAATGAATCATAATGATTTTTCAAGTCCACTAACCAAGCACGGCGAATATGATGCCCCCGATGCTGGTGCAAAGCAGCGTCTCCGAGATCCCGATCAAGCTCTCAGTCTTATCGCCCGTCAGGCCCCCGAAGGCGATCGCCCCCGATACGGCGGCGAAGTACATGAATATGGCCGCCGCGACGCACTGGAAGTTCAGCCCGTCGACGATGTCGCTCTTGTAGTGCGGGTAGCGCCGCTTGAGGTCGCGGATCAGTCCACCCCAAGGCTTGTTCGTCCGCACCAGCGGGTCGTCGTCTTTCTTACGGTCCTCGCCTGAAATTCACGTCGAATCAATTATTTTTTTTGTCTTGTATCATGAATAGAAGAAAAATACTATGGAAGTGTCGAATTGAATAATGTACTAAAATCAATTATTGGGAATCTTGAATGATATATATAAACAAAGGAGTTCCCCAAGGATCAGTGTTTGGCCCAATTCTGTATCTTTTATACATTCAAAACATTTCAAAAATATGTGAATTTGATAGGAAACTATGCCATATATGCAGATAACACAGTACTTTTATTTGAAAACAAGAACCCTGTAATTTTAGAAAACAACATAAATGAGGTTTTGGAGTAAATGGTGGCTATACTCCAATCTTCTTTCCCTCAATCTAAATGAGACCCAATATATAATTTCCAATCAAAGAAATAAACAAAATATTGATTTGAATATTAGAATAAAAAATGAAAGATTGCAACAAACTGCCTATACCAAATACCTTGGTATTTGGATTGATGAAAAGTAAACATGGGACAAGCATATTGGCATGCTCAAAGAAAAAATTTCTCCCATAGTTGGTGCCCTAAGAAGATGTCCAAAACTTATCCCAAATATAGCGTATACTCTCACATCCTTAGTAAAATGAACTATCTCATAAATATTTGGGGGTTCATGTTCCAAGAATGATTTTAACAAAATATCTGTACTATATAAAAAAGCATTAAAAGTACTGTATCGTCTTCCATATGACACCCCATTAAATCAACTTTATGAAGAAACAAATACATTTTCTTTGGAAGAGCACTATCTGATAAATACTTTCCAAATTTCTCTTGATATCATCGATAAACACCTCAAATCTAACTTCATATTGGTAAGGCATTCTCAAATCCATGAACATCATACTAGACAATATGTCTTGTCTTGTTTCATCTTGATGCTGCTAATTCTACACTTGGCCAAAAAAAGTTCACTCACGGAATTATCTCAAAATTCAATAAATTACCTGATGATATCAAACGTTGCACATATATCACCCAATTCAAAATTAAAGTCAAGAAACATATCCTCTTGTGAAGAGAAAATCAAACCTGAGTGAATGATTTATTTCATCATGTCATAATGTACTTTTCATGGGCTTTTTGTTTTATTATCATTATTCTTGAAACTGTTGTTTATTTCAATATCTCAGATTTAATAAGGCATGAATAATCTCAAACCAGATATGAATCTGTCTGATTATTCATGTTATTCCATTGTAAATCTTAATAAAATATATTTATATTTATAGGAGATGCAATGTAATATTTTTATAGCAAAAAATGAAATGAATGAAATATTGTTCTTATTATATTATTAAAGTTTACCCTACTTGAGGGCTAACCACAGAATTAATATCGCGCTACTGAAACGTGAGGTCAGGTTAGGTCAATACACGCCTATAGTATTAAAATGTTATGATTGGAAAATGAACGTATTCAAAAGCGAATAACACAAAAACCGTTGAAGTTAGACAATTTGATAAGGAGTACATTTTTCATGTGAAATTGAACGAGATTTCAGATTTTCCACTTATTTTGATCACCAATGAATTGACATAGAAGATATGATGTAAATTATCGAAGTAACAGAGTGCCACTGGCGCCCTCTATGAGCAATCAAAGTTGCAAATTCATATTCCTCGTGTCAGAAAACCTAGAAATACAAGATTTCATGTTCATGCTGTTAAAACTAACAGAGTTATTGTGAAATTGTGAAATATAATCTCCCCCTAGAACACCCTGTATCTCCTAAACCAGTAACATTCTCATCAGGCATATTGGGCTAAATCTCATTATTTTTGTGTTCACTATCTGTAGTTCAGAGATTTTCCATTCTTAATGAATCACCCTGTACATACCTTGAGATATGAGTGGCTGGGTAACGATCCCGTGGGCCTCCTGTTCCTTCTTCAGCGCGTTCTCCTTCCGCCTCCTGATCGCCTCGATCTTGGCCTTTATCCCAGCAAATGGCAACACCGCTTGGCCCGCCCAATCACCAGGGGGCAGCACCACGCTGGCATCGAGAAACTCGTTGATGGCCGAGAGCAGCTCTTTGCGGGTGTCCGCCTTGTAGGCTATGGAATGGAACTGCGTGTTGGCCATCAAAGTCGATATGGAACGACCTACTTCGTGGTAGTCGATGTTGGGCAGTCGAGGACCGAGTAGTACGAAAACGAACCTGTGTATGTGAAAATTGTGACCATTTAAAAGTACAAAAAGAAGAAGGAAAGCTCACAATCAAGGTGTCATGTTGCGGACTCATTAAAGTCCATCTTCAGTCGTATTTAGAAGTAACTACAAGCAAGGGCATGTGAAAATATACATATTATGAAAACCAAAAATTTGACTTACATGGAAGTGAAACTGTATTTTAAATTAGATGCCGTTGTCTATCATCCTATTAATATCGTGGTTATATTGGTAAAAAGGGGATAAAGTTGTTATCCGCGACTCCTATACCAACAATTATACTTACAATTTTGAACATGAAAATGAGCTTTCAGAACCTTATTTGTATTCCAATTGAGTTTTTGTATTATCTGCTATCAGGGCCAAAAATAGTTTTTTGCGAGCCTCTGCCTTGTGAGTAATGGAATGGAACTGCGTGTTGGCGATCAGATTCGATATGGAACGACCTACTTCGTGGTAGTCGATATTGAGCAGTCGAGGATCGAGTAGTACGAAAACGAACCTGTATGTGAAAATTGGGACCATTTAAAGTTCGAAAGAAAGAACGGAAGCTCAGAGTCATCTCAACTACTTTATTACTGATATAAATCAATCAAGGGGACATGTTTCGGACTTATTAAAGTCCATCTTCAGTCGTATTTAGAAGTTACTACAAGCAAAGGAATGTTAAAATATACATATTATGGAACCAGAAGTTGACTTACATGGAGGTTTATATTAGATGCCGATGTCTATCATCATAATATCGTGGTTATATTGGTAAAAAAGGGTTGAAGTTGTTATCCGCGACTCCTACACCAACAATCGTATTTACAATTTTCAAACGTGGAAATGAGCTTTCAGAACCTTATTCAGCCCAATTTAGAAGTAACTACAAGAAAAGGCATGTGAAAATATACATATTATGAAAACCAAAAATTTGACTTATATGGAAGTGAAACAGTATTTTGAATTAGATGCCGAATCATCATATTAATATCGTGGTTATATTGGTAAAAAGGGGTTAAATTTGTTATCCTCGACTTCCATAAGAACAATCATATTTACGATTTTGAACATGAAAATGTGCTTTCAGAACCTTATTATTTGTATCCCAATTGAGTTTTCGTAATATCTGCTGTCAGGGCCGAAAATAGTTTTTTGCGAGTCTCTGCCTTGTGAGCTATGGAATGGAACTGCGTGTTGGTGATCAGAATTGATATGGAACGACCTACTTCGTGATAGGCCAGGTAGCCGTGCGGACAGAGTGTCAATATTCTAATCCGCATACGCTTGCCGGTCGTGGGTTCGATTTCCATCAACTGCAAACATTTTTCTGATGGCCCAAGAAAGTGTTTGCGATCACAAGTTAAAAGGTAAGGCCCCCGTCATTCCTTGCTTGCACAAGACTCTCGAAGACTTCTGAGGGTTGTTCGTAAGGGGGCAACCGAATGACGGAAAGAACAATTTTAGAATTTTGGGCAGTCGAGGACAGAGTAGTATGAAAACGAACCTGTATGATGTGAAAATTGGGACCATTTAAACTTCAAGAGAAAGAAGGAAAGCTCAAAGTCATCTCAACTACTTTATTGCTGATATAAATCAATCAAGGGGACATGTTTCGGACTTATTAAAGTCCATCTTCAGCCGTATTTAGAAGTTACTACAAGCAAAGGCATATGAAGATATACATATTATAAAACCAGAAGTTAACTAACATGGAGGTTTAAATTAGATGCCGATGTCTATCATCATAATATCTTGGTTATATTGGTAAAAAGGGGTTGAAGTTGTTATCCGCGACTCCTACACCAACAATCATATTTACAATTTTTAAACGTGGAAATGAGCTTTCAGAACCTAGTTTGTATCCCGATTGAGTTTCTGCCTTGTGAGCTATGTAATGGAACTGAGTGTTGGCCATCAGGATCGATATCGATCGACCTACGTCGCGTTAGTCCATGTTGGGCAGTCGCGTACCGAGTAGTACGAACATTGAATATTGGTAATATTCCTAATTAACAATAAAAATTCAATTGTCTCGAAATGTTCCCTTATGATTTGTGGCTTATTGCTTATAATGGATTCATGCAAATGATAATTATATTAATTCACACTAGAGGACATTTGAATCGGTGAACGTGACAACCCCGCGCACGACTTGTGGGCGTGGTCTTGTCAGTTCTCAGCATTCAGCACAATGATGCCAAGGCTCAAACATTCACACGATATCTAATTTTTTTAGTTTTTTCATCGTATCTCCCGATTTATTGAATTCAGAGAAAAATGTTATGGGGATTTTTTGTAGATTCTATCAAAAGGAATAATTTTGGTTCCATAACATTTTCAGATATTTCCAGTTGTTTTCGAGATATTTGAAATCATCTGAGAATAAAATTTTCAACACTTTTGTTCCATCTTCCAATCAACAAAAGGAAAAAATATTTCATGGTTCCGTGGAAGTCGATGATCTACATCTATTGATAATCTTTTGTTTTTCAATATATCTTCATGGTACCCTATGGGTCGTTCAAATTTTTTTTTTCATATTTTTTACTTTATTTCCTGTACTATTGGGTTTACAGAAAAAATGTTGGGTAATAATTTGTAGGAAATGTTCCAGTGGATAACTTTGCACTTCTGATCATTTTCGATTTTTCCATTTGTTTTCGATATATATTGAATTGAATGGATTTCAAATTTTGATGTTTTGATTTTCATTTGTTTTTCCATTTTCCGATTGATTCACGAAAAAATGGTTAAATATTAATTTGTTGCGTCATCGAAGAGGCATACGGTGCATTTTTCAAATTTGGATTTAGTCTTTAGGTTCAGGAGATATGTCGTTTTAAAGCGAACCGTGTGTTTCGGAAAATCTCCTTGAAAAACCCACTTGGAATTTCCCGACCCTGCTCAATTTCAATAGGCTTCGTCTCTTCCTGATGGAGTTTTTTTTTCACAAAAAATAAAATCGATCGGACCACTTTTGCGATTTGTAGAGTGGTCACAAGAAACTTCCGGTGGAAAATCGAAAAAAAACCGGAAAACCCCCCTTAGAGTTTTCCGATTTCCTTCATATTTTAATGACATAATATTGTTTTGAGTACAATAAGGTGGCAAAATTTCAAGTCGATATGTGAAAGGGTTCCGGAGATATATCGATTTATGATTACCACAGATTACAGACAGACAGACCACACACCACAAAAACCAAAGTTGCTCAAAATTCGATGGGGATCATTTTCTCCAAAGTAACTATTCCTCTATCTCGCTTAGTTTCCGAAATAGCATTTTTGGCAAGGCCGTAGTATACTCCACTACCCAGACGGCACCACATATTCCTTGAATATGCCTACTACATCCAATTTTCCAATGAATATTGCATTATCCCTGGAATATTCCATGAATATGTGCTTGATCTAATATCCTCAGAGAATATTCCTGAAATATATTTTCCGAATATTCATTAGATATCCCCGAAGAATATTCCCTGAATATGCTTATCAAATATCCATTAGATATGCTTTTCGAAAATTCCAGGAATATTTCAAAAGCAGATTGTCGGAATGTCGACCTATGCCGAATGGACACGACACGTGTCTGTCGGTCATCGCCTTTTGTTCCACATTCCACAGTCACCTAGTGTAGGACGTGATATCAACATGGGCGAATATGCCGCGATTGTTTTTATTATAAACAGACGAGAAGAGCATGGAATTATTAGTTTGAGCAGAAGTGCTAGAATGTGTATCGATTACTGTGAATAATAGTGTTGACATCAATATAAAGTTTCAGACGTTTGAAGTTAGTTACAATTCAAAAATGGAACATTAACTTAGGATGCACTTCTCTTTTCGCCGCCATTAAACTGGAGAGGGTCACAAAGGAGAAATGGCACTCAATACCAGTATGAGGTATACCTAAGATTATACATTATAATGAATTCATATAATCTATATAACATATCGAAAAAATGAAAGGGGTGAGTGATTCTGTGATGAGAATGAAGGTATTTGGTATAGACTTTTTTGACAACCCTCTCAACCCCGGATAAGTTACGAAGATAAAAAAATACATGGTTTTCATTTCTGAACTTCCCTATATATTTAGTTGAAGACACGGAACTTGGTAAATATCATGTGTCAATAAAACTACACATATTGAAATGTTTTACACCCTGAAGTATGCTTATATAGAAGGGGTTATTGGAATATATTCATTTCACAATTTAAAAAAAAAACAGCTGTAAAGCCCAATCTATTTACTAACTTATTGTTGATCTCTGGAAAAGCATTCGCCATGTGTTTATTAAAAAAAAGTGTTCATAAAAAAAGTTGTAAAAAAAAATATCTTAGGCGTTGAATATTTCAAGCCCTTCTGAGCATACTTCAGGGTTGAAAACACTCCAAAATGGGTAGTTTTCTTGATGAATAATATTAACAAGTTCTGTGCCTTTAGTCATATACAGAGGAAATGAAAAATAAAAAATCATTTTTCTAATTTTGAGAAGGGTGTTATTACTATTCCGTGAAGAGATTTTTCAAAAAAATGCATACCAAACGCCCACCTCAATTTTCATCACGAAATCACCACTTGAAATTTTTCTCTGTTATTTAGATACACCCTGTAGATGCACCTCATTTTTTTCAGTACTTACTCATATCTACCCATCTGTCAAATGGAAAATCCAGGAAATACTCGTGTTGTTGAAGATACAAACGTGACAAAGAAATAAATAATAGATTGAAATCAGCTGATTAACTCAGATGTTGACAAATTCAGTATCTAGTTCTTTCAACTTTTGTAGCACGCCCAGAGCAAAGGTGAGTGAATTCAATCAATTTTCATATTCTAGTATTTGCTATGTTATAATCATTGCAGATCCTGTTGAATTCATCACCGCTACCGTTCAAGAGAAGAAAAAAATCATATGATATGATATATAAAGTGCAAGCTTCAAGTATTTTACAAACCTACATCCTGTATGTTGATTTCTATCTTTTACATAAT